ACCCCCCCTTTCGCCGCCGCCGCCGCCGCCGCCGGCGGGGTGGGGAGGTAACGGGACGGGCGCGACCATGGCTCCGTGAGGCAGCGGGGGTGGGGATCGGTTCGGGGGAGGCCTGGGGCCGCTCGCTGGTGCGCTGTCTCCGCCACCCCCCCTTTCGCCGCCGCCGCCGCCGCCGCCGCCGCCCCGGGCATGTCGTCCAACTGCACCAGCACCACGGCGGTGGCGGTGGCGCCGCTCAGCGCCAGCAAAACCAAGACCAAGAAGAAGCATTTCGTGTGCCAGAAAGTGAAGCTATTCCGGGCCAGCGAGCCGATCCTCAGCGTCCTGATGTGGGGGGTGAACCACACGGTAACCAGCTTCCCCATGCGCGCCCCCTACTCCCCCGGGCCTCGCCACGCTCGCCCCGCGGGTGACGCCTGCAACCCCTCCGCCGAGCCACTTGCATGCCCGCCCACCCGTGCACGCCGTCCGGCCCGGCGTGCACTCCCCGTTCGCCACGCGAGGCCTGGTGTCCCCGTGCTATGCCGTCGCCGTCTCCCCTTCGCTCCTGCCCCTCTGGCTTCCTGCGCCCGAATGCTTGATCTGTGCAGCTCCCGGAGCTTCGAGGGGAGGCCTGGGTGCTGCGCCGCCGCCGCTTCTAACCTCAGCCTGCTTGTTGCATGGCTATTCGCCTTGTCCCTGATAGCTGGCTGCCAGATCGTTGCCCAGTTGACAGGGCAAGTGGCACTGGTTTGCCTGACTATTCCTGTTTGTGGTCGTTTGGTTGATGTGGCTACCCAAAGTTTCCCATCCTCTAGGCCTTCTTACCCCTGGCTGTGGAAATCCTCTCTGGGTTTCCTTTTTCTTCTTCATGAAGATGTACCGACTGGAGAAGCCTCCGCTTCTCTGAACCACAGACACATGACTTGGGTCCCCTTGGATGAAGAAGAGTGGACACAAGGCCCGAGAGAGTGTAGACCCGGTTATAGAAAGAATATGTCTTCCCCGTTTTCTGTGGTGTTTATTTCAAGACGGTGACTTCTTGTGTATCCTGTGGTTTTCCAGGATGTGATAAAGGTGATTGTTGTCCGAGATGAGCGGAGCCCCGGGTTCTGGGTGCTCGGAGATTGTGCAGTAGTAGCCTCTGCTAAGAAGTTGGACGTGGACACTTTGAGCTGGCTGTCTTTGTTTATGTGTTGTTTCTTTGGGGTCTGCCCTCTTCCTCTTCGAGGGCTTGCTCCTTGCCTTCTGACCGTTTCTTTGTGCGTCCCCACACTGGGAACAGACAAGGGAAAGGACCCCAAGTTTAGAATGAGGGAAATGAAGTGTTGGATCTACTGTGGATTTCATTCCTGAGGCTCCCCGGCTCTTCTGAACATTTGAAATTGTTTGTAAGACGAAACAGTGACCCAGGGTCAACAAGACTTCATCTTCTGTTGCTTTGGTAGAAGACCTAGAGAGAGGCCTTTGGCTGGAGATTGAGGAACCGCAGCCTCAGCCAGCGTGTCAGATCTCTGTCCCGTGTGGAAGCGTGCATGTGTCTGTGAGGTTCTTGCCCAGGTTACTTTTCCATATCCTCACTGAGGTAAATGAGTGTCCTGACAGGGTAGTGGGATGCTTGGACCGCTAACGCTGCTGGAGGGCGACACTGAAACACTTTGTTCCTCTTGCTTCTTGCTGCTTCTGGGCTCATCTGACATTCCCAGGGAAACTGGGTCAGCAAATGTGAACCCTATAATCCTATATCCTTTCTGGAGGTCAGGTTGATTTTGTTTGACATCCTGCTTCTCACTAGAAAGCATCTTGTCTGGGCAGAGAGCTGGTAGAAGCCTGGAGGTGGGTAACTTTGGGTCCCTTATTTCACATGTGAGGCTGTAGCCTTTGGCAGAGGATAGCTTGCCCGAAGTCACTGTAAGATACAGTTCCTTGTCCAGCACCAAGAGGCTCTGGTGATTAGTGACAGTTCTTTTGGTTTTGTTTTGGTTTTGGTTTTCCAAACAGAGTTTCTCTGTAGTTCTAGCTGTCTTGGAACTCACTGTGTAGACCTGGCTGGCCTTGAACACAACAGAGATCAGCCTGCCTCTGCCTCTCAAGTGCTGGGATTAAAGGCGTGCACCACCACCACCACCACCACCACCACCAGCAGCAGCAGCAGCAGCAGCAGCTGTAGTGGGGGTCTTTGAGTGACAGGTCTCTTGTTCCTTTTTCTCTCTTAGCCATGACCAAGGTTAGATGGTCTTGCTACAGAACCTGAGTATGTGCTGATCTAGGAAGGTGTGTGTATGTGTGTGTGTGTGTGTGTGTGTGTGTGTGTGTGTGTGTGTGTGTGTGTGTTCATGTCTATGCACTTGTGTGCGCCTGCTGTGCATACCAGTTCCTAGGAATGTGTCAGCATTTGGTTTTCTCATGGGCAGGTAATAAGTCTACAAACACATGGGCATGTGATGGAAGGCTCTGAGTGACTAGCAGACATAGTGGTCACCCTTTCCCTTTGCTAACTTGAAGAAAGTCTCATGGGCTAGCTGGAAAAGCATTGTCTTTAGGCAAGATCCACACACATCTGAACATGATGCTTCTGGGAAGATGGGGGGGGGGGATGCGGTGCACCACCCTGGACAAGTGAGCTTTGAAGGTCAGTTAGTTGTATTTCATTCTGGACCACAGCAAGGTGTTAAGGTTGCACATGAGATAGGTACCCAGAAGGCCATTTCTCCAGGGGATCAGGGCTGCTTTGCTCCTGGTAGGTTGCTGGCCTTTCTTGAAGGTTCCCTTTCTTCAGAAACTTCCTGTTACACCTCTTTACCACTTTAGATTTCAGATACGACCTTTCCTTCAGTTTATCAGTCTTTCAAACCTTTAGTCGCCTCGGTCTAGAGCTAAAATCAGATTTTATCAGATGTGAAT